ATATATATATATATATATGTGTGTGTGTCTTTATTTTTTTTAAGGTTCATATAAATGTATATCAACCAATTTACACAAATGCTTTGGTTTGATCGCTAATGTCTTTTTTACACCTTTAGTTCATAAACTTTAAAAGTAAGATGTAAAATAGCCATTAATGTTTTGATTCGGTCGCTAATTTTATTACATGAAAATGGAGCCAAAAAAGTCATGAAATTGTGAAATGGGCATGAAATTACTACTTTTCTTCTCTTAATATGATTAAATTTACAAATATAGTTAAATAGATAAAAGGTTTTTTTATAATTAAAATAATAATAATAATAATAATAATTCTTTTTAGAATAAAAAACGATTTGATTTAACGATGAACCACACAAAATATTACTCCTCAAAAACCTCATATTTCCTTTCTCTAATCAATTAACATGTTTTTTAATGTAGCGGCTCTTCCTTAACCGTATCACAAAAAATCAATTGCAATGCAGAAAATATAAATGTTGCGGTTCTACTTCCATACAACTAAAGTTATTAGCATAATAAAGTCTACTTATCAAATTTGCATCATTTCAATGATGTTATGTTAACGTAAGTCAAACAACATATTGATCCAATGCGGCAACTTTTATTAAAGAGAGTTGATTGAGGACTCTGATTTGTCGTATTACATAAAGAAGATTAACAAATTTCTAATTTTGATTTACTCACAATCATGTGAGAGTTTTTTTAAGTTCGGGAAACACCAAAAAGTAGACTTGCAAGATAAAGGAAAGTGCATAAGATTAGGTCAAAAAAGAGCATAACGGTCGCAAAACAAACAATTAATAGATGAACATAAAAAGAGATAGGAAATGAGGAGAGGAAAGCAGTAATATGTAAATAAAACTAACGATGATTTAACATAGTAGATGGTATTTGATGAAACATCGTTTCATATATATTATTTTTTGCCAATGAATGCATTAGAGTTGAATAACATAACTTGTTTTTCTTTTAACTGCAAAGGATACCATGATTTGTTTTTATTTTGATTGATTGCTCGTTGATATAGAGAAGCATATGGTTCATAACCTATCATTTTATGCTCGGTTTTCGTTCACCATAAAGATTGGTCCAATGTTTCAAAACCGAGCATGTTTATATATATTTATATATATATATATATATATGGTATTAAAATATATAACACCTTTAAGGTTTATTAAAGAATTCACTTATATGATAATTTTACATGACTACGTTT